AAAGACTTTTGGCTTTACATTGTCTGGTTGTAATGTTGACATAGGTTATATGGTGACTTATTAGTTCCCTCCCTTTATAAACTCTTGGGTAAGATTATTGGGAGTTTACACGTTTTTGTTTATAATAGTAATACATAATTATACTCTTAAAAAAATTTATTTATGTTATTTTTAGAATGTAATATTTCAATTTAAAAGTATACATATCTTTTTATATTTAGCTGACTACTATTAACTAATATGGCATATGGTTATCTCCAATATTGAGGTGTGGGTTTTAACTCTTTATTTCTCTTAGAAAAACATGTTTATATGTTAAATTTTTCCCTTTCTCTTTAATAATTGTCCAATTGAATTTCCAAATGAATTGTTTTATGATAGAGCAAGCTAGAAAGGGAGACAAGTGAACAATTTTCTTGTCGCTGTATGACCCCCTAGTGGAGTTATTTTCTTCATTATTATGTATTATCAACTTGACCTTAGTCATTAGTCACACCAATTGTGACATTAATTAATGACATTAGTTAAGCACTACAATCTATACTTATATAAAAAGCATCCTATTTACTAGAAATAGTAAGTAGAAAAGTCAAAGGTAATTAATACTTACTGAAAATAGAATATCATTAATTACAGATTTGTTTTGGTATTTATAGGCTTGACATTAAAGATTTGTTATGGAATAAAAATTAGAACCGATTTTTTTACCTTTGCTGGAAAAGTCAAAGGTAAGTATAGATTTGTTTATATTAGCAAATCATAAAAAGATATTAAATCTATATTATAAAAAATAATAATTCATACAATTTTATAACAATGCTACTACACTATTTAACAATATTCTTTTTTATTATATAATAAAATAATAATTAAATATTATATAGTGAACAACAATAAGTAAAATTATTACTTTCTCTTATATCAAGGGATAAATTTATTTGCTAAAATTAAATTTTTATTGTATATATAAATGTTTTAGTGAGATAATATATTAATTATTTTACAAAAGCCTTAACATGCTCATACTTAATATTCTGGCTAAAATAACAACGGTTAAAAGATGTAGATAAAAACTTATAATAACCCTATTGTTTTTTAGACTTAACATTGATTAAAGAGATAAAAAATAGATAATCCTATTATTTTTTAGACTTAAACGAATAAGACTGTGAAAATAATTTATTTAATATATTTGTCTCGTGCATAGCACGGGGTACGTACTAATATTAATTAAGCACCACATTCCTGGGTTTGTATAGTTGTAAATATATATGCTCGTCTGTTTCGCGTTGCCGCCCCTCTGAATGTAGCACCAATAAACGGCTGCCACCTGTACGCGCTACTCTGTCGGGAAAGCGAACAATCTTTCGAGAACATTTGACATGTAAATTGACATTGTCTCATGAATATTAGATATGAGATATGATGGGAAATAATTCGACTTCAATATTTTCTCATTGATCAACAAGGTCCAAATTCTTTAAATAACAATAATAATAATAATAGTGATAAAATAAATAGATATAAGATAAACATGTAAGTTTAAAATTTATATTTTATAAAAATAATAATTTATTAATTGAGAGTGATTGGTTGTTGAAAATATGTAAGTGGATAAATATTTTTTTAAAAAAAGATATGTAATAGTACAATAATTAATTTTTTTTAACTAATTTCTAATCATGTGTAAGCTGTCGAGAAAAAAGTGAGGTAAACTAAATATGATTTTTTGTGAAAAAAAGGTTTTGTTTCACTGTCGGTTCAATGAGATAATATTTTTACCGGACAGACAAAAATAAAAGAAAAAAAAAATAATTGGTATCTATAGGGATTATAATTAAGTTAGGGTGCAGGTATTGCATATGCATCCAACTCAATCCAGTTTCATACAATTATATTTTCTTAAATAAAAGAATAGTATTAATATCAATATGATACAAAATAGTAAAATAATGATTGATTATTGTAAATAAGTGAATGAACAAATATTTTTTTTTGTAGATAACTTATAAAAAGGATTAATTCTTAATTTAACAAAAAAAAGTTGTATTGAAAAATGTTATTGGACAATGAAAAAATGTGAATTGGATAGAATTGACCACCACTTATTTTTTTGTTTAGAGAATTGACAGCTCCATAAATTGAGAGTATTCATTTATATCTACTACAAAAGGTTTAAAAAAAAAATCAACTTTTGAAAGTGTTTCAAACGCGGAGAGTAATAAACACAAAGTTACCATGGTAAATGTAAGAAACGAAGGAAAAACGGGGTGCAGTCTTACTCATGTGACCATCAGTAGAAAAAGCCCAGATGAAGATCTAAGTGAGATTACATCCCAAAATCAGAGGAATAGTCCATTAGACTTATAAATTAGATCTATTTTCCATATATAAACGATGTGAGACAACTCACAAGTGAATATTTTAATAGTAAAAAGAATGTAATAATAATTATAAACCTAATTGGTAAACTAAACTAATACAATGATACATACACAAGGCCATATTGGTAGATTATAGAGTAAAGAGGCGTGAAATTTTTTTTGTCACGCCATCCAAACAAATCTTTGATCCCAATATAATCTGCCAACCTAACTCCACGCGTAATCAATAACCATTTTTATTTAATTTTTTCACCCCCACAATCTTTGTATATTAGTCTATGAATATAAGTAATATTACTTTTTGTGTTAATACCCTTTTATGGTCTATGTTTTTAGACAATATCTTGAAAGCAATTGCAATTATCGTCTTGAAATTAACTTCATCATATGTATTATATTCAGTAACCTAGCTATCAGGCAGGGCAGGCCTTACAGTTATAGTTATTGATGACAAAATCATATTTTTCTTTTTTTTTTTTTACAGAAATTCATATTTTTAATCTAAAATAATGTTATACTTCGTATGACGTTTCATTATATAAATATGTTTTATTTAAATGTAAAAATATAATGAATCGATTGACCCGCCTAATGGTTAGGTATGATGTTGCATTTGCTCCAACTATCTTATAACAACCAAGAAACTAGAATTTCAACACAATGTCAAAAGGGAAGTTGACTTTCATGTTATTGTTAGTATTTCCTTGATTTTTTTTTTTAATGGAAATTTTTGGTATGATGAGATGATTATACTTTTAGATTGCATATATAGTATTAATGTTTCGAACATTATTATGTTTTGATAGTAAAATTATTTCATGTTATAAAAAATTAAATTTCAGTTGAAATATAGTAATACATTTGACAAGAAAAAGGTGATTTGATTTTGTTTTCCAATGCATGCATGGGTTTGCTTTGTTCTCCAAATATAGTTAGGCTTATGAGAAGCATGCCATCTTATCAATTTCATGATGCATTCATTTCCTCTCCTGTGTGGTTGTGTATATAGATGATTGTATGTAGAGGAAGTTCATAAATTATGAACTTCAAAAACAACAATGTTTTGGTCAGTAAAGCTGTTGTTAAGCAGACATAATGATTTAGACGGTCACGCTTTTCAACAAATACACATAAATACGTATCATATATAGTTTAAAAAAATAAATAAAAGTATGACATTTTATAGTATAAGAATGCATTTCTGAAAAAAAAAAATATATACATATGGCAAGTCGACCACGGCCGCATCACAAAAAAATTTGTTAGGTTTTCTCTTCTTACAAATTTGTGTCTTTATGATTCTTTCTCTTCTCCACTACTATGAAAAATATTTCACTTACTAATCCCCCAATTAATTACTCTTCAATGAAGACTCCAATTAGTGGTTATAACTTGTTTAGCATAGAAGAATAAAAAGGCATTATTATTATTATTATTATTATTATTATTATTATTATTATTATTATTATGGAACAAGAAGGGTACTAGGGTGGGGTGGGTGTGACAAAAACCCCATGCCCAACAAGAAATCATGAAGTGGAATGCACTCAAAGAAATGAACATGCCCCAATGTCCCTAAAATATTATTTATTCTCACAACAATAAAAAGTCAATTTTTACGGCCACCAATATAAATAGACTATAGTTACTACTTTTATGTTAATTAAGTTTTTTACCTTTAATTAACTAGGTATCACTGCACTGACATGCATCTGGGACCAATAGTCATCATCATTCTATTTGTTCTCACAAATGGATATGAATACAAATCAATAGTGTGAATTTCACACCTTTTTTTTCTTTCTTGAAAGTAGCTCTACAAATATCACAGAAAACATATCTCATTGCTCAATTGCTCCAAATGGGATATTGAGATTTTATATAATTTCTATTTTGGTATTTTCATTTGATCACCTGCAACATTTGATTCCCAAAAAAAAATCAAGAAAAAGAAAAAAAAATGGAAAATGTTGCGGAATCGTCGATTGTGCCTCCGGGCTTTCGATTTCACCCGACAGATGAAGAACTCGTCGGGTATTATCTCAAGAGGAAGGTCAACTCTCTCAAAATTGACCTTGATGTGATCATTGACATTGATCTCTATAGAATTGAGCCATGGGACATTCAAGGTACCTCTAGCTTTCCATATTAATTCCTTTTTTTTTTTCTTCAGAAAAATCAAGATATAGGTCAATTTTGCAATAAAAAATATAGTTACTAGACGAAAATTGCAATTTTATTCCGATATAATTTGAGTGAAAAAAAAAAAAATCTTGGATTTAGTTTTCAAAATAAGAAGATCAAAAGCAAGAGTACTGTTTTATAATTTTTTTCTTCTATTTTGTGTTAGAAATTAAGAAGTGCAATATTTTAGCATATAACTCACTCACTATATAACAAGCATTACTATAAATAGATAGGTGCAAATTGGGGTATGAAGAACAAAAAGAGTGGTACTTTTTCAGCCACAAGGATAGGAAGTACCCCACGGGCACGCGGACAAATCGGGCCACGGCCGCAGGCTTTTGGAAGGCAACGGGCCGAGACAAGGCCGTTCTCTCAAAGGATAAGCTCATAGGGATGAGAAAGACTTTAGTTTTTTACCAAGGGCGAGCGCCAAACGGGAGAAAATCTGACTGGATCATGCACGAATATCGGCTCCAAACATCCGAAAATGAACACACTCAGGTAATTAACAATATCGACATATTGTATAACGATCGAGACCTCAAATCGAGTTCGAAAAATTCTACGTTTTTTTTTTTAAGAAGAAAATTATTTATGCTTTTTAAAGTGATATTTGAGGGTTTAGCTTCAATAGTACTATAGTTGTCATCTTTGGTTTGAAGTTTGGACTTGAAAAAAGTTGATAGTTTTCCTCAAATAATTTTTTTATTTTTATTTTCTTAAAAATTAATGTGTTATGGACATGATTATGTCTGTAATGATTTTGAACACGACAACCTTTCTCTGCAAAGGCACTTTGTGAGGTTTGGTTGAAAATCACAATTGACTTATTAAAATCAAGAAAATTGAAAATTTTAGGGCCAATCAGGTGAAAGGTTTTTTCTTTTCAAATTGGAAAAATTCGACCTACCATAAAATCGACACACATTTCTGTCAGTTTTTTTTTTTTTATATATATATATATTTTATTTTGTGCGTGTGTGATTCAACTGTAAAATTCAAATTTCCTCTTAGATTTGTGTATCGAATTAGCCTTCAAATTGTATTTTCTCTTAGATTTGTTGGTTTGAGGCCGTAAACTAATTAACTAGGACGCACATATCTCATTAAACTTCTGGTCAAAATTCGAGTTTCTTACCAAATTTATCCAAAAAAGTTATCAACTTTATTAAAAATCTTCGGCCAAAATCGTCTCTAATTCGATCCTTTTAAAAAATTTCTAGTCAGATTCTGATTTCCAATCGACAATGTTTTCAAAGTGAACCGTTTTTAAAAATTACAGCATATATTTCTACATATTTTGTATATTTGTATCTAGTTCATATATTTGCTACATAAACTAGCTATGACCAATTCATTACTATTGAATTTTCCCTATCCAATTTCCAACATTTATTTCTTCTTCGAATAATTGTATGCAAATTAACAGGAAGAAGGATGGGTCGTTTGCCGCGCGTTCAAGAAGCCAACCCCAAACAACAAACAAAGCTTCGAATCTTGGACTAACTCGACTTCCTTAGCACAAAATGTTAACCTTCATAATCAAGGCACGACGAGCTTCAATCCGCCTTTATCCAACATTCGAAATCCTTTAGTAGAGCTTCGAAAACTCGGGAGCCCCTCGATTTCCACGAGTTTTGCCAGCACAAAAGAAAATATTTTCGACCAAAAGGGGATTTTTGAGAGTATTGGTAGTAATAGTCTGTATGGGGAATATTGGAAGAGTTTTGATAGGTTGCTTGAGTCTCAAGTAATTGGGCCGTCGTCGTTTGCTGTGCAGCCAAACATGCCCTTGGTAATGTCATCACACAATCTTGGGCTTCTTGCTGATGATCAAACTCATATGAACCATGCACTTGAATGTTTTCTAGACTTGTAGCAGAAGATGCATATATATCTATCTATATATATATATATACCACTTTATTTATATATCATGTCCATGTAGGATTTTGATTGGAAGTGTAAAAATAACAAGCCTTTTTTGGAAAATTTTATTTGAATTTTGATTTGAGCATATANGCCTATTTAGTTTATGAAAATAGTAGTTTTTTTCAAGAAAGTTTCTTTCATGACAAATTACTTATTGCTACTGTGAAAACAGCACCTCTCATTCTCATAGGGTGAAGATGGCTGTTTTTCTCTCCTTTTCTCATTTCTTTTAATTTTTGGAATTATGAGGAGATTATTTTGACTCAAAATAGCTAGGCCATTTTGACTATAATAGGAAAAGTTCAGAGCCATGCATTTGATGATACATGTATATCTTGTTTGGAAACACTATTTGAATGTACTTATGGATCTAAATACCCAAATGATGTTTTGATGTTAAAATTAAACAAGAATGGATGTAAATATTCAAATGGTGTTTGGTGTTAAATTAAAAACAAAATTGTGTATAATTTGGTTCTCCACAAACTTTATTATAAAAAATTAAAAGATTTAGACTTTCAGTTTTCGATAAGTCAATTTGCTAAAGTCCATCTAATACATTGACCTAACGGAAATGCAACACTTAATTTCTAACTAAAAATAGTAACAAAGGATTATATTTTTTAATGTTGAAATTTAAAAATCTAATGCATGCTTAATTTCCCAATTAATCAACGAATTTGACTTTGACTTGAAAATTTTTGAAATGAAAGTGAGGTAACATTTAATATATTGACATTCCTGGATTTGGAGATAGAAAGCGAAGAATTTAACAAATCTACGTACATTAGAGCACCCACAATGTTTTGAGTCTCTTTTTGTATATGTGGCATATAATTGGACTTGAATCTTAAATAACATGGACAAACTCAAGTAAAAAAACTCAAAAACTTTGCAATGCAAAAATAAACATACTAGGTCTAGCATACATGCCAACTAATAAAAATATTTTAATATGTTTTTTTTATTAAAAGAAAAATTAAATTAAGAATAAATGATGGGTGTTTGGGTTTGTACTTGGGTCCAAAATAGACCCAAGTGTGAACTTGGTCTCTTTTTTTTATTGCCACATAAGCTAGACCATGTTTACTTTTAATTGCATTGAAAATTATTTTTTTATAGACTAAGTCTATTTTCCATGAGGCATGTAATTTTTTGTTAAGAGATCCAAAGCATTATGGGTGCTCTTAGTAATGAAAGTGTAAAAGAAAAATAAAAATAAAACATTTTGTTTTCAATCTGAAAACCGGGTGGACCCAAATCCAAACATAGGCTGGTTCGGGTATTTGGATTGGACGGCCCGGAGTTGACCCGATATAGACCTAGTAATTTTTAATTTTTTTGCCTTTTTAAAATAAAAATTACTATATTTTAGAATAAAAATTATTGTGCATATTTATGCGCTAATATTCATGATAAATAGTAATATTAAGACCTTAAAAAATAAAATTTGCAATTATTCGATTTTACAATAAAAGGGGAAAAATAAGAAAAAACAAATGAAATCTTCTTCCTTTTATGTCCCACTTTTTGACTTCTTTGTCTGTTTGTCTCTCATAGGAAGAGAATTTTGAAACCGGGAAACACGCTCAAGTTCACAGCTCACCTCCGATTTCTAGGGTTTCGAATTCTTCAAATCGACCCTGAATATCTTCTTCGATCCCTTTTTGCCAGCCTTCTCCAAATCCAATCAATCACCGATCAATTTCAATTTGAATTTCAGTTTCCATCCCCGTTTCCTCAGCTCGCCAGCTCGAATCTTCCTCTGTCTCGAAAAAAATACTTTCTTGATTTCGTTTCTTGATTTTTTTTTTTCGTTTTTTTCGTGCATTTGATGTCCTTTATCTTCATTGCTTTTAAATTCTCCAATAGCTCGGGGCAGGAGGTAGTGGGTCGAGCCCAAATTTCATTTTAGCTCGTTTGACAGTAATCTAGATCGAAAGTCCATCGCCTTCGCGAGTCACGCATGGCTGCGCCTCGGAGCGTGGTGGTGGATGCCGGCAGCCGTCTGTCGGACAGGGATGAAGAGAAGGACGACGAATCCCCGTCGGGGAAGAAGCTGAAGGCGGAGAGGTTCCCGCTCTCTCGGTGGGAGTTCGCTGCAGCGCTGGGGGTGTTTTTGGTATTTTCCACCGGGCTGCTGTGCGTTTACCTCACCATGCCCGCCGCAGAGTATGAGATGTTGAAGCTGCCTCGTAACCTCTCAGATCTCCGCTCTCTCAAGTAAAGCAGTCTTGACTCTTTCAGCCATCTCTATTTTGTTTTAAGGTTTTTGGATATTAAGATTGATTATACAGCTAGTGTTCAGTCCTGCAATCATTTAATTACCAGAATCGCGTGTGGCGGTATTTGTATGCTTAATAGTCGAATGATTGTATATGCCATCCGATCAGCATTTGGTTCGATGTTGACATTCTGTCTAGCCTGAATCGGTCAGTTTATTCTGTTATTGTTTTCTAAGTCTTGAAGTTGAATGTTACATTTTTTCTGATGCTGCGTAGGAAAGTTGTATACTTTGTCATCATATCTGGGATTTAAAGGTTATCTTAAGAAGTTCTTGATGGAGGTCTGTATGCTAGTTAGCTTACCAAGCTAGGCAATAGACTAACTAACTAAAGCGTTCAGCTTTATGTTCTGTTTGGGAGCAAAGTACATACATTGTTTATGAACTCTGTGTTGTAAATGTTGCAATTGTCTAATATAGGGATAAAAATATTGTTTTATGGATATTGGAACTTCGTATTGGAGTGGAAGAGTATAATATCAGGTCGAAGGTTTATTAAATTGATTTGAGGTGCATGGAATAAATCTAGTCAAGTTGAAACTAAGTACTAAGTTCTCTTTTCTTACCCAGCTTTACAGTTCTAATTTGTTTGCACTTTTCAATATATGCTCTAGGGATCATCTCGCTACGTATGCTCAAGTGTATCCAGCGAAGTTCATTCTTGGTTACTGCTCGACTTACATATTCATGCAGACATTCATGATACCCGGAACTATTTTCATGTCCTTATTAGCCGGAGCACTTTTTGGTGTTGTGAGAGGTATTTTCTTAGTTGTCTTCAACGCCACAGCTGGGGCATCTTCTTGCTATTTTCTGTCCAAACTCATCGGCAGGCCCATTGTCAATTGGCTGTGGCCTGAAAAGCTCAGATTTTTCCAGGCAGAGGTACCATTTGTCACCGAGTTTTTTTTTTTTTTTTTTTTTTTTTTTCAATTTCAAGAATTGGAAAACACCATGTATCTTTTGTTTCAGATTGCAAAGAGGAAAGAGAAATTATTGAACTACATGCTTTTTCTGAGAGTAACCCCAACACTGCCAAATCTGTTCATAAATTTGGCATCGCCTATTGTGGACATACCATTTCATATTTTCTTTCTGGCAACTGTTATCGGCCTCGTTCCAGCTTCCTATATTACTGTTAGAGTAAGACCATTTTTTATCTGTTTCCATCAAATTGTTTCCAATAAAAGTTTCGTTTAGTTGCCATTGCTAAATTTTGTTTCTGTTAGGCTGGGCTTGCGCTTGGAGAACTTAAGTCGGTGAAAGATTTATATGATTTTAAGACGTTGATGGTACTCTTCCTCATTGGCTCGATTTTATTGTTGCCGACCGTTTTGAAGAGGAAGCGCATATATGAATAAAGCTCGTGATTTTTTAACGATCGATTTTGTGATGTGGAAGTTTCAGGTTTACTTGTCATACATGGTTTTTTTCGGTTTTTTTCACAGCACTTATTTAGGCTGTCTAACGGGCGAAATCTTGAATTTGAACTGATATATATATATATTGTAATTCATTCACAGAGCATAATTATTGAATCTGTATAATTTTCTGAATATCAGAATTGAGACACTTGATATAGTCAGGTTAAGATATGAGCTGTGGTCTCATTTTATAGTATTTGATGAGAAATGTTGACACCTTTTGGAGTTGCATTGAATAGAAGCTAATGTTTTGTTGTATCATAGCTCTTTTACTATTTTTTGTGTGAGGTTAGACTATCCGTCAAACGGGTTGATCCATTATATATATTTTTCAATTTCAATAATATCCGTTATATACATTCTTTTTAATAATGTTATAATTTTTTCATATTGATTGACATTCAATTTGAAAGTATACATCTACAAGATTCTAATTATATTCGACCCAATAAAATAGCCAGATTAACACAATCCATAATCACTTCAAGCCTAAGTACACCAAATTTAAAATCTTGGGCCTACAAAAAAGACTAATCTTGTTAAGTATAAGAATATTAAGGTGATATCCACACAAATGTATCCAATCCATGTAGTAGTAAAGAACTTCATTGACAGGTTTAACAAAGAGTGAGTACTGAGTAAAACTTATAAGATGCCATTTATTTAATGTGTGGGATATTACATAAGATGGGTGGTTGGTATAGTATTAGGTATCTGATATTGCATAAGATGGGTCGATCGTAAGCAAAACAACTTATAGCGAAAAGACATCAATCCCCTTTCTTCAAACTTGCATCTTCCCAGGTCCCGAATGAAGCTGGAGAGTTTCGCTTTTGACGACCTGAAGAACGCCTGGTTGTTCTACCCAAATAAGGAAAAAAAATGAAAAAAAAAAAAAATCAATCACTATACGTAAAAGATTAATATATGTAGATTACACAATCCAAGGGAGAAACTTCAAACAAACTTTATGCACAGATTAGCTTTGCAATGAGAAGCGGAAGAGATAAACAATAAGCACCTCCAATATTTAACACACAATAAGTCGACAATGATAGACAATGTGAGCTTCGATTATCATTTGTACTCCAAGACCAAACATGATAAACCCAGAATCTTGTAATGAGAGTAGGTTGCAACTACAAGCAAACACAATTGCACCAAAAGCATATCAAAATGCCAACAATCCATAATGCACAGAAAACCGTTCGACAGCTTGTAATTTGCAAATGACTCGGCAATTCAGCCGTGCTCGATTAACGAAACAGAAATATACTGAAGCACCAAAAAAGAAGAAAAATAAATAAATAAAAGGAGCACAAACTTACTGGAGATCTGAGAAACCTGATCGGGAGTCAGTTTAGCAGAGAACCCACTTGCAGCATGCTTGTAGCTATATAACAAGGCATCCTTTGCAGCATCCTCACTGTTCACCACAGAACAAATCACAAATATAAACAAATAAGTTAACTGGATTTATTTTCTTTCTTTGTTTTTTTTTTTCAAATGAGCAAAAACTTAAACAAGGCCCTCAAAAAGATTCAAGATCTATTTCACCCTACCCCATGAGAGTTTTAACCTTCAGATCAACGAAAACTCAGGTTGGTGTGTGTGATTGTGTGTGATCGGACGGCTAAAACATAGAATCGATTCTACCCTGACAGCCCCATCTCAAATTCATCAATTTCAGTCCTCGGATTGGAACAATCACATCAAAAATCCAAGAAACACGCATAAACCTCATGAGGGTCGCTAAAGACTGGAACTTTTTCACACCATAACATGACTAAAGTGCAATTTTTCGACAGAAAGGATGAATCAAGAAAGAAATACGAGGAAAAGAATTGTTCACCTGCCAAGAACAGATGCGAGGGTTTTGATGTGATACTCTTCAGACTCGAGGCCTTCAGGTCTTTCGGTGTAAACTATGTGAACTTGGGCCTCAGATGGAGACGAACTATCCGCCATTGATGGGATCAAGATCAAGAACAAGAACAGCAGCGATAGTTGGGACAGCAAAATTGGTTGGGAGAACTTTTCCTTCATTACACCTTGGTGATATTTATTTTGGGGATTTCTTGATTTGTGCCCTTTTCTCTTCTTACGGGCTAAGGAATAAGGACCGTGTGGAGAAATTATTGCTCTTCAGGAAAATTTTAATTTCGTGTTCTAATTTATTGACTATTGTGTATAATAAATTATATATTTATTTGTTTCTAATTTTCTTTTTTTTTTTTCATGTAATATATAATAAATTATCAATTATTGTATACATGAATACTAATTATTTCTTTCTAAGAACAGTTTCCTTTTAAAACAAAAAAAAATGTACACAAAATAAAATAAAATAACCAATTTATAATTATAATTCGAGGTGTAAACGAGTTGAACCGAATCGAGCTCGAGCTGATGGTTCTTGAGCTCAAACTCAAACACTTCGCAAGTCGAGCTCAACAACGCTTGTCAACCAAATGAACCAATACTTGAACTCGATTTGTGCTTGTTTATCTATTAATGAGTCGAGCTCAAGTTTTTACGAGCGGAACTATAAAAAATCACATAAAAATTTTTCTATTCGAGTCTTATCGAGCTGATACGAGCCATGCTTGTAAATAAACGAGATTTAAACGAACCTGAGTTAAGGCCTTGTCGAGTAAACTGAATTTACGAGTGATTCATATCATGTAACTGTAAAATACAGTCTTATGGTATCTTATTATTTGACTTGTACAAAATAAATTAAACAATAAACATATGTTTTTGCTTGAAATTAAGTTTGTATACATGTGTAGGTGAATAGAAAAACTGAATCGGATGTGACATTATATAATAGATCAAGTTATGACAACTCAACTTGTACAATGTTTGATTAAGTGGTAAATGTGAATTATGGTCCAACAAAATAGCTTTTGTTCGTAAGAATGTGGACGAGAATTCAATTTATATCGTGTGGTCCATTCTTCATCGTTCTTTATGCTATATGTTCCGTGAACATACCTCAAGTTACGTGATAATTTAGCTAATAGTTTATAAATAAATTTCGAATATATAACTAATAGATTATGTCTTATACTTGAAAAACTAACTGATATGATAAAATTTGAAAGTGTTTTGTAAAATTAGTGAGATAAAAAAAATGAAACGGCAAGCTATATATCCAATGAAGTTTATGAGATAATTTCAATTTTTTTAAAAAAACTCATGTTATTAAACTAAATTTATTTGAATACACAGCTGACCAGATAAACTATAGTCTAACTTATGATTATTACCAACAAGAGATAATCCATCAATATAAAATATAAAATAATTTATCTATGTATTCATCTCACTTTTATTTACTTTATTTATCCATAAATTTTTAAATAACAACAATAAGATCTACACACTTTTTATAAAGTTTTCTATCCATTTTCTCACATGTTGATAACTATTAATTATTATTTTAAATTCTTAGGTCATATTAATTTTAATCATTACTCATTCTCTTTCAAAATAAGTGTTGTTCTATATTTATTGTTCAGAATTAACCAACAGAAAAAATTACTATATATAAATCTAATCTATTAGTAATACTCCTAATCATCTTTATTTCTCCCTTTCTTATTGTTAAATTATTTACCATAATTTTATTTTTATCCTAATGAATTAGTGATAAAAATAGAAAAAAATGATAAATATTATAAAACGGTATTTAATTTAAGTAAACAAAACAAAGTGTCTAAAGCAAAATATAATTAAAAGCATAATATCTCTATTCTATATATCAACCACACCCTCCCACAAAATCATTTTCCAAATGAAAACCTTCGCATAGGAGCATAAATTTTATGGTGCTCATATGAGCACTATAAGCCACGCCATAATATGATGTGGCACATGAGTTGGCTTTCTTTATTTTATTTATTAATTTTACTTATGGCGAGACTTTATTAATACTTTGCTTACGAGGCTTTCAATCCCCAAATCAAATTTAAGGGTTTGTAAAAATGGGCAAATCAATTTTTCGTGAAAAAGAAAATCTACAGATACGAAATTCAAATCTAAAGGTTGAGAATTTCAGTCTCGCCTTGCGTCGGCCCATCCGACCCAAAACCAAAACCCCACACCCGTTTCCTGACCTCACGCACCTGCTCGAGGCGTTCTATCTCCGCCCTCCATGTTTTCATTTATTTTCTTTCTTTTCCTGTTTCTTTTTAATTATATAAATTATCAGCAATTAATATTCCCCTGAATTCAATTTTCCTTTGTCTGCTTCTTGTTTTTGTTTAGTTTCTCACAAATTTTTTATGGGGTTTTGTAGTTTCGTGGCTTTAGAATTTAGGTTCTTCAACCTAATTTTGGAGTTTAATGGTAAAAATGCATTATGTTTGAAAATCTGTGATATTTGGTTGTCGAGGGCTATCTGTAAGCATTCTGAACAGCTTGATCAGTTATATGAACCAACTGTTTAGCTGGCATGAGGAGCAATGAACTCTCTCTAACATGGAGAGTGAAGACTGCCAATGATCGTCTGGGGAGTAGGCACGAATTCTCACAATTTTTTTTGTATTTCTTTTACAATTATGTTTATTCTTATGGGAAAATCAAGTATAGAACATGGGAACAGTCCTATTTAAGAAGGATTGCTTAATTGTTGATAGCAACCTCATATGTGCCATGTTGGAATTGATAAATAAATCAATAAAGCCAACTCATGCGCCACATCATATTATGACATGGGTTATGGTGCCCATATGGGCACCATAGAATTTCTGAGCAAAGGAGTGCATATATTACTTCAAGATCTTTTTTAGTTTTTATCAGCCACTCATAGATAAACACTTTTATAGGAGATCATGTTCAATATTTATGGCATTCTCGTTCACTCATTTTTTTGTTTCCTGCACAACGATCTCGTCATTCTCATTCACTCAATATTTATGGCATTCTTCGATTTGACATACATATTGCATATATAAAATAAAAATAATTTCATCCATATTTATAAATAAAATCAATTTTATTATAAACTCAATTTAAAAAACATCTTATAACAATATAAATTATTTTATATAAATAATAAAAATCTAATTCATTAATACACCATAAAATAATTATTTTATTACTTTTTTTTTCATAATTTTGGATAAAATTACATAAAATAAATTTTAAGAAATATTATAAAATATTATTCTCAATTTAAATAGATTATATAAAAAATTGAATGTTATTATGTTATTTAAAATATTAAATATAAAATAATATCATAATGAAATTTTATAAAATAATTTTATATTTTATAAAGTTAGAAAATAATACATTTTTACGTAAATTTTAAATTATTATTTATATGAATTTAAAATACTTGAAAAACCAATAAACGTGAGACTCCAATTCTATAAATATAAATATAATCACAATACAATAAAGTTTATTTTGTTTAAAAGAAACGAATCAAATATATGAAGTTGTAAATAATATCAGTTATATATATATAATTTTAAACATAATTAAAAATATCTTTTTTTCGCAAATTTAGTGTAAAAAATATGGAAATTATTTGAATTATCACTTTGTTATTGATTTATTATTGTTGCATATTCATCACATATAATTTCACAATAAAAATATCAATTACAATAATTTGAAATTATTGTATAAATATTAATATATTTAAGTATCGTGTAATACAACCTGTCATATGTAAAAATAACACGTAGCAAGACAAGAAAATTTTTTCTTATTTATTTCTATAAATAGGGGTCTTATCGTTTCTTCAGCTTTTCACTACAAAATGTTTCCAAGAACGTAACTTTCCTCGCAAAAGCCCTCAATGGGGGTCGCACACTCGCACAGTAATGGCAGATGCTTGAATTTCTTACAGCCGAAACCCTTTTGATTTTTCAGACAGCGTGAGACTTGTAGAAGCAAAAAGATTCTGTCTTTAAGGGTAAAAGGAGATTGTTGGGGCTCTTTTTCAAGATTCAGTCTTTTCAAGTTGCAATCTTTACTGTTGAAGGGAGATGCTGAAATTATGGGTAATTTTTCGCTGTATTTTCTGTTTGATGGGCTGTTTCTTAGCTTCTGGCAGAGTAATCTTGATGACCAGCAAAGTTAACATATCTTTTGAAGACATTGAAGCTAATTTTGGTGAGTCTGGTTTTTGACCTTCACCTATTTTTTAGTGTTCTTGTCTGGGTTGATGCCGATTGATTTGTGATGAACTTGAATCTGATGTGGGTCGAGCTTTGGTACAGCTATATGGATTATGGAGTTGTATTGTACTATTTTTAGATCTCCTAAGTGTTGTTTCTTTACTTTGTTTGTCTGTTAATCTGTTTTTTCTGAAAAAAAGTGGTCGATATTTTTCACTTCTATCAGATTAATTGCTCCGTTGATTCGATTTTATCTTATATTTTGGTGGGTTAGAAGTAAAATTTAGCTGATGCAGAAATCCAACATGGGCTTGAGCACTTTTCTCATTTGTTCATTGTGTTCAAACTTTTAGCTGATGATAAGTGGCCATTTGTGTCAGAGTTGATCGAGTCTCATTGCTCAGTTTAGTGCTGCAAAATATGTCTTTGTGATCACTGATATTTCAATTGGGGATATAAGAGTTCGTGTTCGTTAGTGTTTTATTAATATCGGTTTAGGTTTGTTATTCTTATTTCATCAAAACAAGGTCAACTGTTCTGAAGCAAGTGTTTGTATGCTAGGTCATTTAAGTGACGTATTCTGATAAAAAAGAAAAGAAAAATAAAAATTAAAACTCCTTTTCTTCAGCACCACCTATCAAGGAAACTGGAAAATATGGAACGTTGGATTTGGCCGAGCCTTTGGATGCGTGCTCACCGCTGACTAATAAAATAATTGTTAATACGAATAAATGGAGACATCACTTTGCTTTGATAGTCAGAGGAGGATGTAGCTTTGAGGACAAAGTTCGAAATGCGCAAGATGCAGGGTTCAAAGCAGCCATTGTTTATAACAATGATGACAGCAATTTGGTTGCAAGTAACATTCTTTACACTGCAAGCACACTTTACCTGCAGATTATTTAAGTATATATATTTATATATATTGGCATCTAGCTTATGATGATATAAAAACCAACTTCATATGCGTAGGCAATATTCGCCTAGCTAGTGAATGTGACTAGTAATTGACCCGTAGAAGACTAAGACAAACTCTTAGATGATTAAAGGAAAAAAAAAACAAATTAAATTGAT